AGCTCGGTATGACAGAATCCCTGCAGCTTGGTGAGACAGAAATACAACTCCTCTAACCTTAGCACCTATGGCCCCGGATAAATTGCCTTTGATTCATACCTCAAGGTAGTTCTGCTTTTCTTGCCAGTTTAACCAATAAAAGAAGATCTGGATGCGTTTGATTTGAAAAAGCTGGTGACCTCTTGGTGATTTGATTGCTGTAATCTGATCAAAGACAGGATGGATTTTTTTTTTTCAATGCTTAGTGGGAAGAACAGATGACCCCCCACCCGACACACACACACGCACACACACACACACACACATGCAAACACACACACACACACACACACACACACACGCAACCCGGCTACCCCAGTCCTCCCATTCCCCAGCTTTGTTTTTGTGCTCAACGTGTTTGTTCAGCGGGCTCTGTATACTGTCACAGCGATTCTTAAGTAACACGGGAAAATGTCTGTTTGTGTCCTCAACAAAAGCAACAGCATTTTGTAGACTTGTAAGGGTTTATTTTTTGTTGGTTTTTTTGTATGTTTTATGAGCAAAAAAAATTGATTTTCCACCACAGGAACAGCCTGTTTTAGAGATTGGAGTGAAGTAGCCGAAATGCATTAACTTACACAGACAAACATCTAAACGCATGTGCAAGTACTGCTCTGTCTCCCACCCTGTTATTAGTGAGGGCTGTAAAGACTCCGAACTCCAAATCAGCACAAGATGAACCAGAGTCTGCGATCTCGCTGCAAGAGCGGCTTCCTGTGCAGACATATGAAAGGATATAAACACATTCCCATCTCACCTGTGATAGAATCCAAACTCTGTCAGATAGCAGGCGTGTTTTAAAACACAAAACTCATTGGCAGATGTAGAAAGCATGCTTGTTTGTGCTCTTTGTAGCTGTCAGATGGTGTTTTGGTTCTGGGCCAACTGCATTGTTTCTCCTAAAAATGTCATTTTCTGCCTGTAAGAAAAAGTGGGCGGTTCTGCACCCATAAGTCTCATGTCCAGGGGACAGAGCTACAATCCCCAAATGTTTTGATATAAAGACCTTAGGGGGAGATGGCAGGGGGGGCTTATTCTCTGTTTGTGTGGACTCCACAGCGGCCTGATAGGGAACAGATGTGGAAAGGCAGGCGGCTGGGCAGCCAGCCAGAGCAGCTGGGAGAAATTAAAAACAACAGCATTCCTGGAGACTGGGGGCATTACAGTGGGAGGGCGGGAGCAAGAGACGGAGAGAGAGAGAGACAGGGAGTTTGAGGCCTATGTGGTCACCGACGGAGTCTCTGTGGAGTACAAGAGATTGAATAGGCGAGGGGGTTTTAAGGGAACTGTTCTGCAGCGGTTAGCCAGAGCTAATAAGCTGCAGCTGCATTTTCAGTGGAAATGCATATGGGCATGCACACATATATATACATTGCATAGAGTCCACACACAAAATGAGATGTACAATGAGTTTAAATCCATCCTCAGAAGGGCAGTCTAATGTGAAACGATTTGTACACATATGTTTGTCTTGACGGCGCTCTAATGAGAGCTTGTGTCTTTAAATCTTTAATGAGATTCCAGAAGGACTTCAGAAAGTTTGAGAAACCCACCGAACTGCGCGCATCCAGTTGTTCGGCGTGCTCTCTGCGGTTTAGTGCCTCTTGCAGCGAATTGTTTTTCATCTCGTTTCATCATGGCACACGGGGAGAGCAGAAGACAGAGAACATTTTTAGAACGCAGACTGCAGACTGCTTCTTTGGTGAGCAATCTTTTAGCCCCGATTACGTCAAACCGTACAGACATACAGCTGTTCTCAGAGTCTGAGAAACACAGACAAACAAGCACAGGCAGCAGCAGCAGCAGCAGCAAGGTAGGTAATGATTGTACCACGCTGGTTTATTTTCAGCCTAATATGCAGGAGTATTTAGGACAGATGGCAGTAGAATTGAGTGGATCTATTTTCGCCCGCATTGGTTTCAAAGTGGCTCCTTTCAGACGTACATGTTCGAAAAGCTACACCTGAACCTCCAAAACAGGTCAACTTCTGCAGGTGATTCGCTTCTCCTCTTTTTTGGTGTACGGCTTTTGTTCTCCAGCACAAAGCAAAGCACGGTGGAATCACAGGTGGTCACAGATGGGGTTTCAGACCGAGCAGACTTCCTAATGTATTAAAAGTAAAATCCAGAGCATGATGTGCATGTGTGTCCTGTCTCTGGAGCTGGTCAGATTAAACAGCTGTCCATAATCCCGCAGTGGGGGCAGACAGACAGGATGGTCCCCTTATCCTTTCCTTTCCTATTTCTTTTCCTTTCCTTTCCTTTCTCCTGCATCATTTGTTCATCAAAATATAACTGTATGTATTCAAACTAACAAACATGGGCACAGGTGTCACAATCTGACTTCGTAAACACAACAAAGTCACTGAAGGTGTGACAAATCTACCATCTTGGACGTCTGCTTTTGCATGTAACCCTGTATTGAAGAATGGTTGCATCTATTTATGGCAGCTGACCCCCCGTCTGCCTCTGTTTTGCGTGTTTATGTTGAGAGCGTCTGGCATGGGCCAAACAGCCGAGCACCCCTCGTGTTCTTGGGGGATCACTGTGTCAATGGCCCTCGCACAACATACTCCAGTGTGGCACTCTTTAAATACAGACACCAGCTGTTGAATGCTGCTACACGAGCTCTCAGAAATAGGCTTACTGCGAGCTGAGGCCAACTGACATGGTGGCGGTGGGGGTGTTCTAGAGAAACAGATGAAATCAAAAACAAATTATGCCAAGGTGATTTAATGATAGCGGATGCATTCATACAGGAACATATACACGCAGGATTTAAACAGCGTAAAAGGTCAGGACTCTTTAGGTCATTTACCTCAGCAGTTTAGGTTCTCTTTTTATTTGTAGAGGTTCAAGAGATTATCTCCGAAGCCACCAAGAGGACAATGATGACAGATGCTTTTTTGTTTAATATGATGTTTTTGAATGTGGATTGTGACATTTTGAAAATATTAAAGGGAAATGTATTTGTGGTCCTGTTGTAGAGAAGGCAGCGAGAAAAGGATCAGCCATCCCTCAATGTTGTCCCGAGTTTCAGGTTTTAAATTTTCAGGTGTGCATGTACATCTCCAGAAATCAAATGGTTATTTTATTTTATACTATAACACAAAATAAAGAAAACAATTGGGGAATTTAATGTACGTAAACAGTTCAGCTTGGTTTACTGATATGTGCCATTGATTAGTTTTCCTACAGTATCATCTCATATTTCTGTTTTTAATCGTCCCTGTATAACAAATTGAGAAATACCAGCAGCCATAACAAATGAGAAATAAAATGCTTTATTCTTCTAAGGCTTACAAATGCTTTATAAATCAGATTCTGTACATGCAAACAATAGATTTTTTTTTCAGATTTTTTTAAATTGCAAAAATGAATTTTGACATCAGTTTCAGTAAGATTTTATTTATTTTTTTTGCACTATTTAACTTATTTACTAATGTAAGGATATAGCTTTTTGTTGATCATTAGGTTCTCAGTTAGGTTAGGTTCTCAGTAACAAATTGTGAGTTTTCAATCATTTTTTCACATGATAGATAGTTAAAATGATATTAAAAACAGATGTTCATTGACTCACATATAGTGCATGTCCAGAAGAAGGAAGAAAAGAGAATATTTGACTTTATTTGCACTACTTTGACTGATAACGCCTTACCACAGAGACGAAAACAAAAGAAAATACAAATAGCATTTAAAATGTATGCGTTCGCTCACAGTGTCTCAGCAGAAGAATCATCAAATGGCCCATTAAGTCTACTCTGTGCTCACATCTGTTTTTATAAGTTAGAATAATGACTTCCCTGCACAAGTTTTTATGATACATGTTTATATTCATTTAGTAAATATATGCAGCATTTATTGTGAGCAAACCACCCATGTATGTCCTGATCCATCCGGTGCATAATTAAAAATGCACTTTATTCCATTGGTTTTTCTATGTACGGAGCAGAGTCACAACCTGTTTTCCATCCTTCTCAAGGGGCTGAAAAAGTCATCACACTCTGTGCTCAGGTTTGCAATGCAGGAGGATCTGGTTCCAGCAGCTGCACCGACAGGTGGACACAAGCATCAAGACTAGTCAACGCTCCATAGATAGATGCAGATTGAGTGTACGTTCATGCATGCTGCGTTGTGTTTGACAGTGATTTTCTACAAACTGCATAGAATCGTACCCGATCCAGGAGCCTGAAAGGCGCCGGTGGCTGCAGCAGGTCCCACCTTGTGTTGCATTTTCTCTGCTGTCAGTCGCCGCACCGTCCACCGCCTTCACGCTGCAGAGCTTGGCCTTGCCTTGTTTGGTCCTGGCAGCATGTCTGGCAGGAGACAGAGAAGCCTCTGGTAGCAAGACAGAACTCTGCTGAAAGCCAGTCTCAGTGATGGACAGCAGCAGATCCAGCTGCACTTGTCACTGGCTGTCAAGCCGGCTGTCTAGGCAGGGGAACGAGAAGGGACAGGCGGGGTGCGTGTGTGTGTGCGTGTGTGTGTGTGTGTGCGTGTGTGTGTGTGTGTGTCCGGGGGTTGGAGGTTACAGTGGGGTACTTGCAGGGTGGGGTTAGTGGGGTGCTCTGATTGGGATGTCATTGCTACATGGATTGTGTATGTGTGAAGGAGAGAGCGTGAGGGAAGAGGGGGGCAGCGAGGAGTGCTGATCTCAGTTAGCAGCAGCTGAGAGGGAGAGCAGGTGTTACTGTGGGTCTCTCAGGCCCCATGAATCTCCAACAAGAAAGACAATACAAGTTTGGATCCATTTCCACTCTCCGCATTGATCTCCTTTAGCTCTTTGCATGAGGCTTTTTGGTTTAAGGAAACAATCGATGGCTCGCAGGTGAAAATGTCAGTTCTCTCCTCTCTTTTAACCAGCTGTCTCCTCCCAGCACAGATTCTGGTTTTATAAAAACCGGAGCTCCATTTTTAACCTGTTTATGTGTTTTTTTTTTCTTTTCTTCTTCCGTGTGGCAGGTAGCAGAGTGCAGAAGGCTGGAACGATGCCAGATTCACCTGCGGATGTGAAAACCCAGCCCAGGTCCACCCCACCTACCATGCCTCCTCCACCCCCGGCTGTGAGTCAAGCAACAAGTCGCAACGCCTCGTTCACACCGGCCACCAGTAAATCAAGTAAGACTCCCTCGTGTGCAACGATGCGTAGTTGTTACTACAAAATCGCATCCAGTGATCCATCCTTGTTGTGTTGTGAATTATTTGGCTGACTGATGCTTAATCCAGAGTTATTTTATGTGCTGTTGGGTGGATGTTTTCTTCAGAAGGTCTTTAAAAACAGGCAGATGTGAGAGAAAAACAGAGACAGGTGATATATCAGTGACCGAGCAGCTCACTGGGAATGAGACATCGAACTTTTTGCAAGAAGAACTGGCAATAATTAACAAACAATTAAACTAAAAGTATGCTTCCCAGAGTATGTTTTGGAAAAGACATTGATGCAGAAAACAACAGACCAAAAACATGAAATCAGCATTTTACAAACTGTTACAAACAGCAGTTTTAAAGTTTGGGTCCTGCTTTGAGCTGTTTGCGTGTTTCTCTTTTCATTGTTTCTCTTTTCATTGTTGTTTCTGCTTATTTGTACTTGTTCAGCTTGTTTTTATCATTTTCAACCCAATTATACTGGGAATGAAAAGGAAGTGACATTCCGCTGACATTTCATCCAAGCATCATATCTTACCACGAAACCCGGCTGGGGCTCTTTCCAATGTAGTCTTCTAAAATCTGCTTATAAATATACTGTAAGATATAAATGTGGTACTATTAGTTCAGTATTTAAATTGTACAAGTAGGAGTTTGCCTTGATTTGATCAGTGGGTCATGCAGCATGAAAGCCATTTGGTTCAAATAAACCAACCAGTAATCGAAGTGGTGTGTTATTTCAAATATTTCACAAAATATTATACTACCTGATCTAATCGAGAGTCAGATGTAAGCATGTTATATGTATTTCTCTCTTCATAAGTTGTCAAATATATCTAACTACTAGATATATTTCAGAAAATACCACAATACATTTCCTTGTTGATTTGTTTTCTCCTAAGCTTTGCCCTGTTTCATTTTTCTTGCTGTGTTTTACACGCCAGTACCGACCATTTTAACCAGATTATGAAACAAACCAGTCAGCGATACTAAACATGTTGAGTTTCTGTTGCATGCAATATGTCATGCACAATCAACTCTACTGCTTTTCCTTTTACCTAGTTTGATGGTTGTGCGTCTGCATTGAGCGAAAGGAATCCAAAATATTTCTTCCTTCCCAGTTCTAGTGAGCAAGTGTTTTGGTCACTTGTGTGTCAGGTGTGTCTCTCATGGCATTTGTCTGTCTTTAGGTGGCAATAATGCCCTTGCTGTCTTTTGGTGTGCATTGTTTATCAGCTGGTCAGGCGGCGGGTTGGTACAAGGGACATCAGGCGTTCTTTCTTCCCTATATAGCAACGTCAGGCCGTGTTGTTTCACCTGTTGCGGCTGGCGGTCAGCAGCGTGGCTCTCTCCTTACGACTCTTCCTCATCTAAAACCAGAACACAAGTGCTGGGATCACATGGGTTAGTCCATATGTGTTCAGGCCTTCGACCCACGGATTAGAGCAACAAGCATGCCTGAGAAGAACCACCACAAGAACAGGCAACAGCTGAAGGTTAAAGACTCCGCTTCTTCCAGAACAAGGGCCAGGTGACGAGGTGCATTTCAAAGAGATGCTGCAGCAGAAATGAAATGATGCTTAGCATGCTGCTGTTGTGAAATGAGTCATGGTTCAATCCTAGTTACATGAGATTTCATGGGGGGAAAAAAACCCAACGAGCCTGCGACGTACAATCGTTTTATAATCCGATACGCATATAGACGCACATAGAAATTGTGACAGATTTGAAGAGCAGCGTTTGAGGGGAAGAGGTCAGGCTCGCTCCCGGGGTATTTACGAGTTTGTTTGGGCTTGCATTAAGAAGCGAACGTGTGCAATCATATACGTGTACGAATGCTGTGTGACTATTCTGAACCCCAAAGCTGCAAATCTACTTTCAGCTGGTGGACATGTGCAGGACCTGATTTAGCAGCACACCTGCTACTGGAATAAAAGTAACACAGCCCACTGGACTATTTTTGGCACCTCTTTAACAAGTTCCTCTTATAGTTGTGCCCTACTGAGTGAGTGAAGAGCAGGGTGGAATACAGGCTAACTCAGGGGCCGATGGAAGGGCTGGAAGGGGTCAAATGGTAGCACTTGTGAGACAGCTGAAGTCCCTGCAAACACACATGCGGCTTGACGAAAGGTAGTAGAAAGTTGGGACCCCGTGGTTGTTTTAAGCATCAAGCGTCATGCAGCCATGTATAAGACTGATTTAATTACTACAGTTGTCATCACATCTATCAGACTCCCCATACAGGCAACTGTAATTCCCCCCCCTGTGTTTTTTTTTTTTTTGCAGTGCTGAACGGGAGCAGCCACTCTCCTACCTCGCTAAACGGTGCTCCTTCGACTCCCAATGGCTTCAGTAATGGGCCGGCGATGTCTTCGACGGCCTCCCTGTCCAACCAACAGCTTCCGCCGGCTTGTGGCGCCCGACAACTCTGCAAATTAAAGCGCTTCCTGACCACGCTGCAGCAGTTCGGCAACGACATATCCCCCGAGATTGGGGAGAGAGTGCGCAGCCTCGTGTTAGGACTGGTGGTAGGTTATGCAAACATCTGTTCATTGCAGCCAAATGTTCCTTTATTGCTTTGATTATCATGTCGGTAAATGTGCTGTGGAAAATTTTAACTGAGTTTAATGTTTCTATCACTTCTGCTTTAAACAGAACTCCACTCTCACCATTGAAGAGTTTCACTCCAAACTTCACGAGGCCACTAACTTCCCACTGAGGCCTTTTGTCATTCCTTTCTTGAAGGTAAAAAATATAATCAATCATTAGGTTTTTTTTTTCTGTCAAGTGTTGAACATCAGTTCTGATTTAATGAAGCTGCTTAGTGTGGCTCTCCTTGTCGTACCTTGTCGAAGCAGAAGCCAAGTGAAATCTGAAAGAGGAGCTAACAATTAACAAACAGCAGGAGCACATTTTTCAATCAGTACCGATGAGGAGCTCCACATATTTTTCTTGCATTTCAATCAAATTCTACACCGAATTTGTAGAATTTGTAGTTAAGAAAACTGAGCCACCGCTCAGTTTTCTTAACTGAGCGGTGGCTGTCATTGCAGCTGACACGCCATATTTTTATCATGTTGCCATTTTTGATACGGGCGATTTGAACGACTCTGCATGCAATAATCTAAGGAGAAGTAAGGCGATGGGTGGGACAGCAAAACTCCACAAAACATTTTTTCTTTTTACTTTTTTACTTCACCGTCGTCTTACCTGGCCTTTGACATGTTAATAGATAAGTCTACATATGTAAGAGATACGTCTCTATGTTAAAAGAATCATGGTATTTCACTCACTGCAGAGATGGCCCAAAGCAGAACTTAATTTGAGGACCCACCTCCAACAAAGCCCACCAGCAGGGCATCGTAAATGGAACTCTGGCCTAATTAAAACCTATATGTAAGCAGTGAGTCTATTTAAGGAATCCATCACTTGTAGCCATCGCTGGTAGGATGTAAATACATCTTTAAAAAGAAAAAGGTGTGAAAGTGTGTGTGAAAGTGTTGGACCTCCTGCCGTGCGATGATCCTTCACATCTGGGATATCGCAGCCATGGCTGTGTTATATCAAGCCGACAGGTCTGAGAGGACTGTTTGACAGCGCTGTTACACACACGTTCACACATAACCCCCCCACACACAGACACAACACACACAACAGCACAACCCAAAGAGAGCGAGGCACATGGTGGAGGAATGTGTCAGGGTACCTGTCTTATCTCATCCTGTCTCTTCATCTATCACTCTCTCTCTCTCTTTTTACTCCCTCCTTAAGCTTAATCTGGCATCAACCTCCCCCCCATCACCCCACAAACCTAATGTTCCACCAAAGGTTTTAGTTTCTCTTCTCGTCCACTTAACTCTTCTCCAAAGGTTATTTGATTGAATCTATTATATCTTTCCTGCAACTTACAACTTGCCTGAGCAGAGATGCCTGTCTTTCCTCTTTTAACCACTAAAGGCAAACCTGCCCCTGCTGCAGAGAGAATTGCTCCACTGTGCCAGACTGGCCAAGCAGACTCCAGCCCAGTATCTGGCTCAGCACGAGCAGCTCCTCCTGGACGCCAATGCTAGCTCGCCTCTCGACTCCTCGGAGATCATGCTGGAGATGAACGAGCACGGCAAGAGAAGGACTCCCGACAGGTGAGGCATTAGGGGCCTGAATGCGCCATCTTAGTGCATTAGTGTTTTTGTCTGAATACCAAGTGAGAGGAAGTGATAAATCCTCTGAGCAAGAGGCAGAAGTCTGGACGGTCGTAATGCCAGCCTGACTTTGCCAGTTGTCTGGGGAGGAGGAGGAGGATAAATACAGAGTAGGGAAAGAGGCAAAATAGAGAGAGAGCTCTGAGAAGCAGGAAGCAAATAAGACAGTTGTGTTAAACTCAATAAAATACAAGCAAGACCGACTCAGGACTGCCCTCCTTTTCTGGTCACTGTTTTCACTCCTCTGCCTGATCTGTTATTCCCCAGCAGCCGTCCATATGTCAAAGATGTGTCCAGATGGTGACGTGCTGCGCGAGGGTGTTGGGAAGTCGGTGGCTGGCGGTTTTTGGATAGGCCAGAACAAGAGGTTGAAAGCTGGATGTGCAATCCCGCTGTAATCTGCACACCTCCGCCTCCCGACCGCTGGCTTATGTACCGCGCTCAGAGTGGAGGGGGAGGAAGGGCACAAAGCCAACGTTTTTCCAGCTGTTCCTCTCATTTGTTAGCGACCGCGGCCAAACGCGTGCACGAGCAGTGCGCATACGCGCACAAAACGTCATCCGTGTGTCTGCATGTGGGCAGCCATGTTGCATTTATTCACTTTTTATCCCCATGATTGTGAAGAGCGATTTTCATCCGAATGCCCGGCTATCGCCATCCAGCTAAACAGATTAATATCAACGCTCACATTTAAACTGACCAGATGGCTCAAAACCACACACTCCTTTCAAGCATACAGGCGTATACAAGTCCGACCAAACATCTGTCAAATACACAGCTTTCATCCCCCACAACCCCTTAAGCTTGAGTACAGGGTGAGGGCGAGGGACACTTGCAGTCTAAGAGTAGGCAGAGGGATATTCAGATTAAGAGCATGGGATGCAGGGTGTACAGTTGGACTTGGTTCTGTTAGATACATATGGCGTACAGCTGTCCGAAAAGCTTTAGAGAAGCCTTACTGTACTGTAACTGAACAACAAGCAGCTCTATATGTGTGTGTGTGTGTGTGTGTGTGTGTGTGTGTGTGTGTCTGTGTGTGTGTGTGCTGGCAGACAACACATGGGAGTTGTTGGACTTAAAAGAAAACATGTTTGTGTTCCTTGTTTGAGCTTCTCCAACAGGAAAGTTCATCTACTCGAGGCTGTAATCTGTGACACACATCTACTGTTTTTTTTTTCTTTTCACTCAAAGTGAACTTCACACATTCTGGAAGTTTTATGTAAAAATAACGAAGCAAAGTTCAACTCGTGTCTGTGCCGTGTTTGGTCCGTTTAGGACCAAAGACAGCTCCGACAGAGACGGCTTGCACCCGGAGCATCTGGCGAAGAGGCCCTGCACCATCAGCCCCAGCCAACGCTTCAGCCCCAGCACGGGGCTCCCGGCTCACCCGCCTCCCAACGGCCTACCAACGCACCCACCCAATGGCCTGCCCCATCCGCCCAACCCCCAAGTGGGACCCCAGCACTACCGCCTAGAAGACATGGCCCTGGCGCACCAGTACAGGGATGCGTTCAGACACAGCGAACACAGAGACTCTCGAGACAGACACCGGCAGACAGGTAGGACATTCACATGGCTCCATGGAGTTTCTGGTTCCCATTTAGGTGGTTGAGACAGAAGGAGCTTGCGTTTAACAGTGGTGGAGTTTGGGAGTAAGACAAAGGCCAGTTGTCGGGCAAGTGGGATAATCCTCATGGCGGTGGGTCTATGTAAAGGACCCAAGCCATACATGCCCTTTAATGCTGATCATCTGCTTTTCTATTAGGGAAGGAGAGTCATTCATTTTGACATCGCTTTAAAACTTAGACACAAGACTGGAGTTACAACCATGAGTGGTTCTTTTTAATTAGAAAAGGAAAAAAAATGGTAAAAAGCACAAAAAAAAATAAATTGTATTGGTTATATCTAATATCTAATTGTCCAATAGCCTGAATTTCACGTTTTTGTTAACTCAGCTAAAACCTCAAACTGAAAAGAGCTAAAAAAAATAAAATAAAATAAAAAATAAACACCAGCTTTTGAATTGTCTTATTAAAATAAAATATCTTGTGAAGGCAGCTTTAGCTAGGAGTTATGAATAATTACTATTGTGCAAAGCCGTAATTGTACAGCAAGTATAACAGAGATGTCCTGTTGCAGCGGTGCATGGAGCTCGTCAAGAGGAGGTGATTGATCACCGTCTTACAGACCGAGAATGGGCAGAAGAATGGAAACATCTCGATAATGTATGTATTAGCCTCCTTACTCCCAACCAACCTCTTTCCTTCGCTGACAATAAATGGGTGGGGAAACCACAACAGTCAGCAAGCGATTAAAGTCAGCATTAAAGCAATCTAAGTATGGCGAGCGGATGACATCAACAGGAACTGTCGACAGACAGAGCAGCCGCCGTCCCACCTGAGTGAGCAGCTGACAGAAGTCTGAGTCAGTGCGGCGAATTGGACAATTGGCGGATACCTTCCCGGATTCCTAGCACCAAACTCCACGAAGAGAAAGCGGCGCACATTGGAAACCCAGACACATACTCCGTTAGTTAGAAACAGGACCCCAGATGGAGCTGAGGACCCAGCAGAGAGCAGCTCCAGCTGGGTAGAGCAGCTGAGACGAGAGCTGCAGTCGTGGAGGGAACCGGCCAGGCCTGGACCCCTGCCAAATTAGAAACACTTCACTGAAATAAATATAGCCAACTCAGAGGGGAGGGGGCTGAGACAGAGAGACAAAGAGAGAGAGAGAGGGGGGAGAATGGGAATAATGAGATGGATTGAATGTCAACTACGCTAAACCTATTTAGCAGACCTTGCTGAGGCTGAAAAGACAGGGCACTGTGGAAAAAAAAAAAAAAGAGTGACACAGTTTACAGCAGAGGGAAAAATCTGGAAATCTGTTGAGTTGGCAGGGAACAGCGCTGAGCGGGGGAAGGAATCAGCTCGAAGTTCTCATCAACGGCCCAGCTGTTTCAATATCATTGTTGTAATTCTCTCAGACACTGAAATTCACCAACGGGGACTAGATAGACAGACAATAACACACAAGCTGCCTGGTTGATATATGATGTGCTGTTAGAGATGAATTAAGATAATACACTTGCTGTTTGACCATTTTCTGATTAGTGTTGTCAGAGCCAACCGGCAGTAAGATCACATTTTTCAGAACTCGGTCTTGGTCTCATTCTTGTCTCAGCATTTTTTTTTTTCTCGAGACGATTCGAAACTACAGCTGCAACATTATTTTTCTTTAGTGTAACTATAAAACCTCTAACTGCAAAAGTGAAAAGTGTTCAACTTTTAAAACATTTGGAGCTGCTGCTTTGGTCTTCCATTGATTTGGTCTTGGGCAGACTTGAGGCAAGACCGAGCCTGTAACCTGATGTCTGGACTGCCTCGGATCTGGACATCAACTCTCATTCTAAACCGTTGCTTTTCAGAGTTTTTCCTGGAAAAATTGGATGAGTAATAACATCTGAAAGAACATAAATTGCTTTTTTTTTTTTTAGTTGACATCTAGACTGTGTTTGCCTTTGCAGCTCCTTAACTGCATCATGGACATGGTAGAGAAGACGCGACGCTCCCTGACGGTGCTGCGCCGCTGCCAGGAGGCCGATCGCGAGGAGATGAATCACTGGATCCGCCGCTACAGCGACGTAGAGGAGATGAAAAAAGGTGGGAGCAACGGACAGCACTGCCTCCCTCCTCCTCCTACTCTTCCTCCTCCTCCTACTCCTCACCACAACTCCTCCTCCAACACAGCTAGCAGCAGCGAGTCACTGCCCATAGGAACTTCCTCGGCTGCTGAAAGGCAGACAGGCAGACAGACAGGTAGACAAACACTCTCAGGGTATGTTTGGCAAAGCAAAACACTCACAGCAAGGTAGGGCTCATTGGAGACGCTGAAATGCTTTAATACGCCGATTCAGACTCAAAAAGTCAGTTAGAGGATCACATTTTTCAGCACATTTGCAAATTGGAGCTCACACTGTGAGGCAATACAAATCCACCTGCAGCATGCTGGATTTTTAACTAACTGATTGCACTCTTATGTTAACGGCATCCTCGTTCACATTTAAAGTTTGCATTCATTTGTAATCTCTGGAAATGTATTCTGTCTTTGAAACGGTAAAAAAAAAAAGAAAAAAAAAAGGGATTTGACAGCTCATCTCCAAAATATTGACGCACGTGATTTGTTGTTTTTGACCCAGAGAAAGATGTGCTAACGATAAGTAAATGGATGGGTTTTCGTGCATTTTCTGTGTATGCTGATTGGGTGGCTGCGTTTGTGTTTCAGAGATCCACAGAGACTTCTTGCACCGGCCTCCCTCAGGATACCTGCCTGAAGAAATCTGGAGGAAAGCCGGTAAGAATGGACCCGCCGTCCTCCGTCCTGCCATCTTCACCACCGATCCCCCCCAACACAGGCTAACAAAACATGCACCATCATTCTTCATGGCTACCAGCAAAGGCAGAGGCCTCGCGGCTGCAGGTCTGTGAGGCTGGAGGCTTGCAGGCCCTCTGTGTCATTTAGGCTAAACGCTCTCCATTTGTCACCACTATGAAAGGCCACTGCAGTTAAAGCTGCAGTGAAAATGCAGACACCAGGGCTTTGTTGGGTCGCAGCAGCGCAGCACAGCGCGGGGTGGAACTTACCCGGTCTCCCTCATCCTAACCTGCCCCAACATTCCTGACTTATGGAAGTCAAAAACAAACAGCTTAAACATACAAAACCCTGATGATTTTTGTTTTTCCGGCTCCTTATGTAGCCAAATAGAAGCAGCCGGAAGTGCTGCTCTGCATGGGCTCCTTGTATTTTAGACAGAGCCGATCCCAGGAGCCATCCGGTTCGGCCCGCGGTTCCACCTCGGTCCCAGCACTATTATGTTGCACTCATACTCCAATACCCTGCGGAGGAAAAGATGCTGCTGCTGGCGGCAAAAATACTGTGCTGCATTTTCACCGGCAGGGAAGGCTCTTTTAATTGCAGTTGTTTTTCATACAGGTACTACAAGCATGCCGCTTTCCCCAGCTCTAAAGCACCTCCAAAACAAGCAGGGTGAGTAGCACATCTTACTCCCATCATCTCTCACCTCTCGGTGTTTGTGTGCCTATGTGTCACCTCCGGCTCTGCAGCCAGGTAATTTTGTCTCGCTGAGCTGCGGCACTCTTTTTTTTCCCCCCTTTTAATTAAAACCAAAGACGTCGTGTTTGGTCTGGCTGAGGTTGAGATCTCGGATCTGAAGTGCGAAAAAGCAGCCAGTAATATCGCGTCTTAGGGACTTGCCAAATCTCTGCGGAATTAAAACGTTAATATTGCTGCCCCAGTGTTTTCCATTAAGTGCTAATTGCCCCAGCATCTGCTATGCAGTCTCCTTGATAAGAATTAATTAAATTTGCAAACTAATCTTAGTGGTGCATGCATTAAGGCAGATAGTTGAGAAGCTTGGAATAATGCATATAGTGTGGCAGAATGCGAGAAAGCCCTGGGAAGGGCAAATTTGTGTTAACAGGATTTAAAAAATAAAAAATGCTGATTTTTATTTTAATTAAGCTCAGTGAAAAAAAAAATTAACCCTCCCCCAGCTCACATAATTTATAAATCATAATTTATACACTACCTTTTGTATTCATCCTTTCTGATTTTGAAGTTGGTTTGATATTCTGAGGCATTTAGGGTTTGCAAAAAACACAAAACCAGAAGAAAGGTTTAAGAGAGTAAAGATTTTCCACACAGAGTAGGAACACATGCACACCTATAGCAGGGTTTGGATAAGGATCCTCCTGTATTTTTTTATTTTTATTTTGCATCTGCACAGTGTAGTTGGAAACAGCTGAGTGGATAGGCGAGGAAAAGTGACAGATATTTACGAGCTCCCTCTCAGACAAACATGGAGTGGAGGAAATGGGGAACGGCAGGGAGAACATCATCAGCCTCACCTCCTACTTGGTTGGTCTAACACACCTGGCAGGCCCATCGCACATCTGGAGGGAGAGCAAGATGCAGCATTTATTTCTTTGTAAAAATGTTGCTGTCTTCGACGGTGTGAGTAGCAGGGGGAATCTGACGATGACAAAGTGTCCAAAAAGCACTCAATTAATGAGCGGGATATATTTGGCAATCCTTGTTGCTGGACGAGCGCACCAATGTGAGGATTAATTTGCTTTATATTTCTTGTGCACTTCCTTCCAATGCTGAAGTAAAGCAATACAGATCCAACTTTTTCAAGGAGAGCATTAATCAGAGAAGCAACCAAAAGGTCCATGATAACTCTCAGCTCAGGTGGGAAAAGTAGTTGACAGGACGACTATTAATCATGTCCAGGTTGCAGTTTGCAATTACACATAACATAGGGGCGCAGCACAATCTTGGTCCTCCGCTTATATGAGACCAAATGTTAATTTTTGGCCTAAAATCAAAAAGTATGCGGTGGAAGACTAATAATGTACATGATCCTGAACAAACCGTCTCCACAGTAACACATGGTGGTGGGAGCATCATTCTGTGCATCAAGCTTTTCTTCAGCAGGTGGAGGGATGGGAAGATGAATGAAGCAAAGAGGAAGAAGAAAAAAACTCTTGCACAATGGCCACACCCTTACTGTGGGAAATTGATGGCATGGTTTAAATAGGAGTCAATGCAACTTCTAGGTTGTTCAGCATAATAATGCATATAGATTAAGGAAAGTTTATGTGCTTATTCTTATCTTAAAACAAAGTCGTCAAATCAGAAAATGAAATCAGATTAGCTTCTGTAAATAAAATGTTGACAATTTTCAATTCATTTTGAAATCTGATCTTTTCGCCTTTTTGGCCAAACCTTTATGTCTTGGATTGTGTGCATCTATTTAGTGGAGAAGAAGGAAGTTCTTCTTCAGAGAAAGCGTGTCACAGCAGGCACGGCGAGATGCAGTCGTTAAAGGCCCCCCGTCTCTTTCTCTGTGTTTCTCAGAGGAGGCGGTGAATGAAGTGAAGCGGCAAGCCATGTCAGAGCTGCAGAAGGCGGTGTCAGACGCAGAGAGGAAGGCTCACGAGATGATCTCTGCTGAGCGATCCAAAATGGAGAGGGCACTGGCCGAGGCAAAGAGACAAGCTTCCGAAGATGCGCTGACGGTCATCAACCAGCAAGAAGACTCCAGCGAGGTGAGGCTCGAGCGCATTTATCCAAAACACCTTCTGTGTTTAATGAGTGGTGCTGAAAATGGTCAGCTTTCAAGCCAGAAAGAAAATCTGTCAGTAAATGTTGAACAGGAACACTCTAAATAAGCCAGCCTCGCCATAAAACCATAAAACCTCTTATCTGAGGTTTTATGGTTTAAAATTGTAAAAAGTTAAGACCTTGTGGTTATATTGGGATTAATTTATACTAAATGTTGCTGTTTCTGCATGAATACAAGCAGACAGACTCAGATGGGCTGGGGCAAGGTGCCCGGTTCATGTCTTCAGGGAGCAGTTGACCACCACCTGCTGGTAGCAGATCAGCTGGCCTTGGACCAAACTCACTTACTACAACAACAGCTGTGGATCTGAAATATAGCAAAGTGTAATAAGGACTTTTTGTTTCTATTGGGGGAAAAAAAGTGTAAAAGAGGGAAATGGGCTTTGATGTAACACAGAGGAGACTTCCTACCAACTGACCTGTCCAGAGGGTTTGCAACTTTTATAATCCATTTCACCAGTAATCTAATGTTATTCTAATGTTTGTTTGGAATCAAAAATCCCACTAAGATTACATTGCAAGTATTTTCAAATTATCCAAGCACAGAACTATTCACACCATATTTGTCAAATTCATAAAATACATAAAAGTTTTAAAGTCAAGTTATTATCTAAGTAATCATTTTTTGTTATTTTAAACTTATTTGGTATGATTTCTCTCACCATAAACACAAATTTAGCACGTTTATTACACTGTCTTAATTGTTTTAAAGCCATAAGATCTAGTCATTCCTAACATATGTACAAAATGTCTGGTGTTTTACCTGTAAAACACTGTTACACACAATCAAATAAAATTGATTGACTGATTGTGGTTTTTATATCAGCAGTTTAATTCGGATATTTGCAAATAAAACATTTCTACTGAATTTAGAATTGAATGTTTGCCAGAAAGTTAGATAAAAAAGGCGAAGAAAACAATTTAAGAAACGTTCACCTTATTTGTTTTTTTATGTTAAATAAGTGAAAAAATTCCATGTGTAATAAATGCAGCTCTACAATAAATATTATTCTCATCCTTTTGTGGAGACTCAAATATATTTCACAACTAGTCTTTCCTAAAACAAGTGAACTATACATATTTGCAGATTTCCTGCTTCATTTCGGTCTAACTTACAAGTTGCATGGAGTTGCATGTTGCAGGCCCCTGATCCAGTCTCTCATTTCTGTCTCCCCAGAGCTGCTGGAACTGCGGCAGGAAAGCCAGCGAGACGTGCAGCGGCTGCAACACAGCTCGCTACTGCGGCTCCTTCTGCCAACACAAAGACTGGGAAAAACACCACCACGTCTGTGGTCAGGGCCTGCAGGGGCTGCCGGGGGGCAGCAGCGTTCCCCTGGGCACCCCTTCCTCCACCTCCTCGGTGTCCTCCAGCGCGCCACCGACCCACTCAGAGAGCACCCCTCCAGGACCCCTCTCCCTGGTGGGCCAGAGCAGTATTGTGGGAGGCGCCGGCAGCGGGAGCGTCTCCGCCAGCCCCAAAGAGAGCAGTTCCAGCAGTGCCTCTCGCTCCACAACCCCAGCAACCCCTGCCCTACTGGATGCCACCTCACGCTGACGTCTGAGCCCTCTCTGTTCGTCCATGCGTACTGAAATGACAGTGCCCACACTCCACACACACAAAAAAAAAGCCAAACTGAGGAATCTGCATTGCACACAACTCCCTTTCTTCCTACCCTTATTCATAACGCTCTACTTGCAAGCTCTGTGATAAATCCTTTAACAACCAACAGCTTTTCTCACCATGTATGATGTTTTCTATCTCTCCGGTGACCACAAGTAGAAGGATTCCAACCAGAGGTTCAACCAGTGGTGCAAAGCGTGCATCTCGCAGTGTCTGCTTCAACATATCAGATTTGTTTGCTGAGAACATAGGCTTTGAATTGAAAATTCACCCTCATTTGTGTAGGCGTGGTGAAGTTAGGGCAGCATTTATGAGAGATAAGTAGCACTTGATAGGATGCCCCCTTTAATTTAGCACCGGTGGAGGTACAGCATCCAGCCCTGAAATGTGCACTAACAGTCTGCAGATGTGACAACTCTGCAGTTTCATAATAAAGAGGCAAAAGTCATAATGTTGCTCCAAAACCTAGGTGGGAAGGGATACAAGCTGTGGTGCAATTTATTCCTCAGAAACACAACTTAGTATTTATTAAAGGTTTCTTTCTGGCTTTAACGGAAAACAAAGATAAGTCCAAATATTCTGAGTAAAGAATAGAGCTGATGATGATGATGCTGATGATGATATGAGAAATAAGTTAATTTTAAACTGCTAACTACCTTGCTAGCGAGCCAAGAAAATCTACACCGGACTCACCTCTCTGCACCATAATGAACCCAAATAAATTCAAAGATGAAACAAATAACATGATCCAAACCTTTTTACTACACTGCCAAAGTGAAAAAAAGAAACATAAGTGATAGAGAGCAGCACTCATCTTATAACCAAACACAAAGCAACATCACCTCCTGAGCAGAAAAGCGAGCCCTGAGAGGACCAGGCGTGGAGGAGCTGCAGAGCAGCATCTCGACTGAGATTTAAACAAAAAAACACAAAACTGTGACCTGCTTTGATCTGCAGCTGCCTCCCGCAGTCTGGATAAAACTCCTCAGCGATGGCCCAGACTAGTGAATATGGACAATGCTGTGAACTTGCCTACAAGAAACACTTGATGAAATTGATGGAAACCCTGCCACAGTGTGGTTCTTTTGTGAATGGTAGCGAGGACATAAAGAGGGAAATAGGAAAGAAAATGAAAATGCTACATGGCCTCAAAAGAGACAGAGGTAGAAACAAGGCAACGGAGCTCCCAAAAACCTCAACACAAGCTTGGAGACATTGTTCAAGAAGGCATTGCATACTATGGAGACGTACAAGGAGATTGCTTAAAAGTTGATTGTTTTTTTGTTGGGTTTTTTTTTTTAAACAAAAAACTCAGAAGGAGGAGACATTTTGAGGAATTGCTGTTACCTTTACATTCACTCCTTCCTTTTCCAAAGCATGACTCGCAGTTCAGAAGAGCCGACAGGGCGGTGTAAACTTTGTTCTCCTCTCTTTCTACCTCCCCTCATCCCTTCTTTGCTCGCCCCCAAACTAGTGGACTCACATTTCACCCCCCAAAATCTCGCGTTTGCTTTGGCAGAGCTGCAAAGCACTCGCAGGGGAGGGTTGAACCTGCTTGTAGATATTCTTCCTCTTTTCACTTTTTTCATAAATGTCTCCTGATTGCTGATGCCACATGTGCTGCCCTTGTGTATATCCAAAAAAAAAGAAAAAAAAGAAAAAGGACTTTGTTTTGGGTTATTTGCCTTTCATTTTCTTCAAAGTTTGGGTTGAGCAGTCACAACAGAGGAAGGGATGTTTGTCTATGAAAGGAAGCCCCACATTGTACTTATTGTTTGAGCTGTTGTATCTATATTGATGAGATGAAACCCCTCTTGTAGAATATTTTGTATTGCTCGCATTGTAAGACAGTGAGAGGACAGAGGTGCAATATGAAGAGAATTCAGCTACTGAATGGAACCTCAGCAACTGCCCATAGGGTGTCATATAATATAGATACATATAGATATATTTAAAGCAACATCAGTAACTTAATGTGAATGTACATAGTATTTAAAAAGGTCCAAAAATGTGTTTGCCAAATAACAAAAACCTTTAAAGTTCAGAACATGACTTTTTCTCACAGTACATTTGTTTTTCACTCGTACAAAGTGTCATGAAACTGCTGGCGACAGACGTAAAGTAACTCCGGCCTGCACCAGGCGACTTAACATTATCCGTTTTGGTCTGGGTCATCCCAATATATAGTCGATTGTAACAGGGGGTTAAAAGTGATGGATCCGTTAGAAATCAGCTTATTTCAGTCAGATCTTCTTTGGTTACCGTGATGATGATCCTGATCATTCTGATCAATCTGACCGCAACACGTTTTGCCATTATTGCAGGGGAAAGTGATACGCCAGTGTTAAGCTCACATCAAAAGTCATTTTAATTTTCTGTTTTTCGATTTGACCTATTTGTTGTTTTATTAAACATGTGATTCAAGAAATAAGCTGCATACGTGGAGCAGGCCTTTGTTTCCAGATCGAGAGAGCGGCTTCGCCTCGTTCCACATGTTAGTACCTTCTTTTAGCCTCTTCAATACGGACTTATTGCCTTTTTTATTGATCATTGTAAACCCTACATGGCTAGCTTCATTTACACTTGGACCAAACTTGGAGAAACAAAAAAAAACAAACTTTTTTTTTTAAACAGAAATATATGATTTTTTATTTTTTTTTTTGGACTATTTGGGAAAAGCTAAAATTCAGATAAGCTGTAAGGTACCCCTGCATCTATGTGTAGCATTCATGTATGTGTTTTATAATTACTGTGTTATAGTGTTGAACTCAGTCGCTTTTCTGTGACATCTTTCTTCTCCCAATGCCTAATTGTCAGTCAGACCCACCACATGTCCCCCGTTGCCCCCTGTTGACACGAGCTACCTCCTGTGAGCATACAGCGCACCACCAGGAGAGGCTGACCTGGTCTTTAAAAAAAAACAAAAAAAAAAAACACACACACAGATGGCTTGAGAGCAGACATGGGCACACAATCACGTTTGCAGGTGATCAAATGAATCCATGCTGAAAGGAGCTGTCATTACTCATGATGTGGACAAAAAAGAAATATCCATTTTCACTGAGCTGCATTTTTATTTTAGGGGAGGAAAAAAAAAAAAAGGCTTTTGTTGAGATTTATTGATAGACACACATCCAGTTATTCCTGCATTTTACCAAACCAACCCCAGAATCAGTGATGACATGTCATTTGCTGTCTGAAACCAATAAAAGCACAGACCAAAGTACTAGTTTGCCATTGTAGACCGTAACATGGCAAGAAATGACAGATGGCAACCAGTCAACCAAAGTATATCTGACAAACACACACCAGGAGAGTCCAGGAGAGCCCAATCGACAAACAAAACGTCTGAGTTTCAGATGTGGATTCTTACTCAAGCAATCAAAGTGCTTGTTGACTACATATTGAGCAGTGCTTCTCTGTAAACAACAGCAGCGTCTCCTTTAGAAAAAGCCTGCCAACTGTGTGTTCTTATAGCTACAAAGCCTTGCAGAGTTAAAGTGAATATGTGGTAAGTGTGTGTCTGTCTGCGGTGGTGGCGTGCTTGTCTTTTAGTAAAAAAAAAAAAAAAGAAAGAAATAAAGAACAAAACCAAACAGCTACAGCAACAACAAAAAAAAATCTTTGTCTCTCTGCAAACTACTTGAAACCTTCAGAGCTTTAATGAAACATTCAAGAAAAACAACAGTGATGTATTGATAAAAATAAATAAATAAAGCAGCAGTTTTTGTGCAGGTTTGTCTATATAAGCATCCACATCATAACACAATGGGGTGACAGTTCCATTCAATTCTTGAAGTGCTTTGTGTGAACCTCCTTGCCTGCGAGTAAGCCCTCAGATAAAGCCAAACCCAATATACATTGTACAAATTTATAAAATCAACCAAAAGCTGCATCTTTTCTTCTTTACGTTGTTAAGCTTTTTTTTTTTATAAAAAAAAAAAAAAAACTGAGACTCCCCCTCCCTGACCCCTTCTTTTAGTCATCATTCTGAAGATTGCAAATATCTGTTACTTTCTCTGTCAAGACGCATTGCGACCCTGCTATTCAGGGGTCTGCTAATTCTTTACATCAGCTACATTTGATCTGTTTCACATATGGGCAAAACACATGTTCAGAGAGGTCAACTAAGTGCAGGGTTGGTGTTTGTCCCAACCTGTAGATCTGCTCGCAAAGTTTCAGAGCTCGGCCGGTGCGATGGTGACACGTCCTTCCTGTGAAACAGGCTCCGAAGACTAAAAAAGCTGAAGTGGCAAAACAGTGGACGCAGCACTCGGTTTTCCCCAATAAGCCATGGCTCAGAACGATCTTGTTTTTAAACTTCACATAAACTGAACACAAGTTTATGCTTTTGTATGTGTAGGGACGCCTTCTATACTGTACTGTGCAATACATTGATGCGGAAAAAAAGAGACATGTTTCTGTAGGGAAGGCTGGCGCTTTCGAGATCTTTCCCGCTTTGTTTCATTTCTCTCTTCCAACAGTCCTGTTGCCATTTTTAGATGAAGTAAACTGTGCCAGAGGAATTAAATTCTGATTTGTATTTATTTCTTGCATGCTTCTCTCCCTGTTGCTAATACCGCTTTTTAACTGTTCGCTCTGTTGGATGTGTGAAGCTGTAAAACATTCTAATTCAGGTTATTGTCTGTGTTGAACAATGTAACTGTGTAATTAAAACATGAAATGACGTATCTATCGCTCTCCTTCCTTTTCTTCATTTTAAATGAAGATGTATTCCTAAAATAGCATCTTTAGAAGAAGAAAATCTCTCTCTTTGTTATTCAGCTCAGTCATCATCACTGGGGTAGGGTTATTATAGATCAGTTTACTTTAACATTTCTGGAGTAAGATATCAATAGATCTTAACACATCACAGTTTCAATTTAGCTTATTAATATGAGAACGTCTAAGGAGTGCCTTTCAAACATTGAAACAGCACGCAAGTTAAGCATAAGCCAAAATGCAAAAGTAAAATTAAATATCTTTATAAAATATCTTTCAACTTTGAGAGTAAACATTTTCTGGAAAAAGAAGGGAGGTAAACTAAAAGGGTGACTAATTCCCCTTAATACATACCACAATATAGCAAAGAAACCTTAAGTGTTTTTTTTTTCTAAAATAATCATACTTAAGTTAACACTTTTTTTTTTGTCCAAGATATTTCACACTTCACAAGAACTCAAGATCAGAATACTTGGAGAATCCTCACAGGTCCCTCATACTGGAAAATGTGTGTTTGATATTGTCAGACAACACACAAGACAAAGTTCTGCCCAGATGATGTGTCAAGAATAAGCTGCAAGTTTCCTGACCAGGGGCAAAAGAACACAATGAAGGTATATCATCTTGGCCCAGAGGTGGGACAGCAATGTATATTGCTATATTGTATATGGACACAATTTATGTGTCCAAACACAAATGCAAGGGCCATGTTCACTATTAGAAGATGTACTGTACCATGTGTGACACTGGATTAACATGCTAATAAATAGTTTATGGATAAATTAGTTTTATTGGAATGTGAATCCAGCTGATGCTGAAAGAAATGACAGCTTTCTCAGAAGATTCTTTGTACCTGCAGCATTCATATTTTAATTCACAGAGAGACATAAAGTATGAAATATGTGCATTTTCATTTGGCAGTGTTTTTTTCTTTTGATAGATTTGCAGCATATTTTATTTTTCCTGTTTATGTTAAGTTGTTGCTTGTTTGGAATGGCATCAAGTTAAAGTGTTTGTACCGGTGGAAAAAGGTTTCCCCGTTCAAATAACTTCCAGAAGTAAAAAAAACTTTTTGTGAAGAAAAAAAAAAAAAAAAAAAAAAAAAAAAAAAAAAAAATATATATATATATATATATATATATATATATATATATATATATATATATATATATAGATAGATAGATAGATAGATATATAGATATACAATGTATGCATAAACATTAACTTATTTATCTTTGACACAGCAATTGATAAACAAAAGCCACATTAAAAATGTGTCATCGCCTAATGTCCATATCTTGAATATAGAAGGTGGGTCAATGGCTCAATTTACCGACACTCTTTGCTATATTACATTCTTATGTGAGATAGGTGTTCTATGGAGGTGATACTATGACATAGTTTTCAGCCTTACCCCTCTGTAGTGAAGAAAATACTGTCTTCTCCTCCGCGCCAGGCCCCAGCCTCAGTCGGTATGGATACGGCCCTGGGAGCAAGCTTCCCTCCCTTCCTCCCTCTCTCATTCTCCTCCTCCTGCATCCCTGTCACGTGGCCTCCACTGTGTCCCTCCAGCGCGTCATGACGAGCCTCAAACACAGGTGATGCTTATTAGCCTCCCAACCAAATTTCCTTCCGGTGAAAGAGATTTTCCTTTTTCTGTAGGTTAGCGTTTCGGTAAGCTGAAGCTGGTTTTTGCAGGTACTAATATGTCTGAGCAGTGAGCATGGCGGAAAATCATCTGGAGTACCGCTACCTTGAGGGCGAGCCTATGGGTGAGCATTTCAACGAGGACCCGGTGAGTTATCTTGTCTTTACGTGGAGAGCATAAAGGGGGTCGTCACGCCATGATTACCACACTCCGACACAAGCGCGCACGCATTGCGGGCATTGTCGTTGTTATCAAAAGCTGAGGCGAGAGCTACATG